GGCGCTCTCATATTTGCGCTCTCTCATACCTGCGCTCTGATACGTGGACTCTCATGTCTTGTGTGCGTGCTTGCACACGAGCGCTTTCAATGGGACCTCTCATTCGCTCTCATACGCGTGTTCTCACGCGCAAATACATGCGTTCATCTTTGTTCCTCCAGGTTGACCGCCTCCGATCTAAAGCACAAAAGCTTGACTACTCAGAAGCTTACAAGGGTTCCTCTTGAGCAGCCGACCCACTGTTGCAACAAGGGTGCTTACATAGTAGGCCCAGGCAGAAACAAGAAGAAGGGTGTAAATCACGATCAGCGGCACTTGCGTGAGGCACAGTCCTGAACAATTTCCTCCTCCCAAAAGCTCTGCCTCCGTGCGCACCAGGCACATCTCTTCAATTCAAAGACAGGCAACGCAAGCACAAGTGGACCTCAAGCCACCACGCAAAGCTTGCAACCCACTGCGCCCAGTGTTCCTTCACACCACATATAGAAGACCTCAAAAAATAACCTTCAAGATGTTGAAGGACGCGTGCCTCTGAAGAGTTGGAAACTGGGAGCTCCATGGCGAAGTTGCAAAGCCTTCCATGCAGAGTTGCAAACTGTCTCTTGCATCCTACGGTAGCAAGTCCTTTGAAGGTTCGGGCGGTCTCCTCTGTGGCCAGCACACTTCAATAACTTCTACACCCTACCTTACCTTGGCAAAGAACCCAATGAATATGAAAGAGGGATCCAGTTGCAGCCGCCGCTGCGATCGCTATGACTGCACCTCGGGTCACAGCAACCAAGGATCAAGGATCATGGCTGCAGTGTAGCGCTACGGCTCACGTTTTGGAAACCAATTTCCCCTTTCATTTACTCCAACCCCTGTGGGCTTGAACGGAGATTTTAGGCGCACAAACGTAGTGACCCTGCGTCACAGTGATGAAAGGATAGGTTCAATCTGAGGCGCACTTTCCTCTCTAACCCCGATTCAAGCAAAACGGCCGCAGTGAAACATGAGGGAGTTGTGACAGATGAAGGTCGGCGATGGGGGCCTGGCTTGTGGGCTAGAAGGGTTCCAGCCTTGTGGGCATAGTGGTTGCAACGGCCCAATGTAACCCTTCGCGATTGATGGATTTGGCCCACGCGCCAACCGACGACTTCGGGTTGCTGCCCGTGTGCCCAGGGTTCTTCAAGTTGGTCCAGGGTGAAATGGGCTCTTTGCACCAGTCTTCAGGGCAATTGTGCTTGGTTCGCGGTCATTCACGGCTATAGCTTGCTTGCTGCTTTGTTTGGTGCGATCATGGCGTTGGCGTGGATTGCTCCACCGACGACCCTTGGTCTTTCCATCCGTTGGTCGGTAAGTTGAGGGAGGCTGCAGCGCCGACTTCAAGCTTGGTTTTGGCACTCGCGGGGCTGTCTGGCGGCTTGGCAAGGGCTTTGGTATAGGGCATGGCAAACAACTCACCACAATGAGATGCGCAAAAGCTTGGGAAAAATGTTCTGGGACGCTTGTCTTCTGGGTGAAAAGTACATGGAAGCGCTGGCAAGCGGCACAGGTCTTTTTGAGGAGAAGTATGACAAGGATCGCTACAAGTGCGAGCGCATGCATATACTATGGCGTCAGCGCGTCCGAGCAGGAGTGCGGTGATCATTTCGATTTTTGCCTGCAGCGGACGCAAACGAAGCCGATGAACTGGCGCTGCGGGAAGTTTTTGGCTTGCGCCGCGCTGGAGCCTCTTTGGATGACGCTTTGAGCAGACCGCGACATGCTGAGACATCTTTCGACGCCTCGGCCGAAAGGAAACACGCCATTGACAAGGACCCAATGGCGTGTTTCCTTTCGGCGGACATGGGAGCGCAAAGTTCATGTAGACATCCACAATGCCTTGGTCACATATGCCACCTGTCACTCCATGGCTGCAATCAAATCTCTTTAAGGCAGAGATGGAATTTTGCTTCCCTTACCTCCATGGCTGCCACACAAGCGCCACTTGGAACGATTCTGGAGCACGTTGAGGGCTGCCCTTCCTCTGCTTTGCGGCCTTCCTGGCCTTCTGGCGCTGATGCCATTCAGGCGCCCATGGATTCAACACCTGTGGTGGGCAACAGTTCAGTGCCATACGATGGGACCATAGCCCGGAATCATTCGTCTTGTTGCAAGCCCCTCGCTTTCAGGCATGGCGCGCTGCTTGACCATGGACCTACAGCAGTGAGCGCCTTCCCGATGACACTGCAAGCTGGGCGCGAGAGCACAGTCCACCCTTGAGTCTCCTTCTTCAACTTGGCCAACTCTTGAGTAGAAAGCTCTTCAACTTTTGGCTCTTCCTCTTCACCCGCCCTTCGTTCGAACAATTCCCTCTCAACTGCATCGCGTCTTGGATTGCCTTGACGTCTCGGGCTCTTGAGCCCCAAGTGCTTCAGACTCTTCAACTGCGGCTACCTTCTGACTCTCACCCCTTACCTTTAAAAAACTTTGCCTTTGGAAATGTGGTAATTCCAACTGCGCTTGCGCCGCTTGTACCAATCACTCTCGTTCCAATCACTCTGACTCTTCCGTGAACCGCGCGCTGTTCCACGACGTGCTCCATGAATTGGACCAACTCGAACCCTTCTGTTTACCTTTGTCGTTTTTCTTGCTTCCACGTTGGTTCCTTCCTTGTTTGTTGGGCCGCCTTTGCCTTTTCCTTTGGCCTTGGCCAGGCTCGCAAGCGAAGCTTGCATCTGGCTGGCAGGCTGGCAGCTGTGGCGAGTGGCGAGTGCATCAACACCCATTGGTGCCTCTCTTCTGCTCTCGATGTTCTCGAGATAGGCCAGAATCTCTGACTTCACGGCGTCATAATTCATGAGGCTTGAGCTTTGGGGGTCAAGGTGATCTTGGAGTTTTGCTGGGCAATATCATCGTCGCGTTTCTTCTACTTCTTTCCCTCTTCATACTTTTGCCTGATGTTCTCCCAGGCTCCAACGTTTTCTCGAAGTTTGTTTATTGCACACTGCTGGGGATGCATAACTTTCTTCAATAGGGCTGAGGTTGCCTGCGGGCTCTGTGGATTGCATACGGCGAGCCAAAGTCTAAAGTAAGTTTGGACCTCTTGAGGTACCAACGTAATTCTCCAAACAGTCTCGAGGGCTTCTCCCTCGCACAAGCAGATCAGAGCCAGTCAGGCCTGAGCTGAAACAAGCTCGGCTCCTTCAGTACGCAATCATCTTCCAAAGGTGTGTCATTGATCTCGATCTCTGTTTCTTTGTTTTCCTCAAGCAATTGGACGTGCCTTCCTGCATCTTGTGGCTTGTTTCAATCCACATCTTGAACTTGAAGCACCATGAACCCCACCAGGTACCAGTTTCTGCTGAACTTGTCACTTCCACATTGATTGAAATGTTTCGCGCGATGGCCGTTTGCTGGGTGTGTGCCTCTGCTATTGTTTGTTCTAGCTGGTTCTGCTCTGATGCCATCACCTGTGCGAATTACTGCGCAAAGTCTGTGGGCTGAGCTCTTGCTCCTTGTGTCGGCGGCTGCGCCATTGTAACTTGCTAGCCAGGACTGAATCAACCTGGCTTCTCAGCAAGTGGTGTATGTAACACGGCTCTCCGGCGCCAGAGCTGATGCTTGGCTGCCTTCGGCCCGTAGAACTGTCAACAGTGAACGGCCCGAACGTTTCCAGCTCGCGGTGATCAACTCGGACCTTCTGGGTTTGTTTCAGCCCTCCTCAAGGTCAGGACCGGCAATTCAGACGAAAACAGAACACGCGCTAATCTACTGAATATGCTGGGTTGCACTGTCATGTGGCTTTGTCGTGCTGTGCTTTGGTTAAAAAGATGTTACAGTAACAACTGTCAACCCACCATGCATGTTCGACAAATGTATCAGTTTGGCAATGGTCCGGCCAAGAGTGTCTAAGCAGGTTGCCAAGCAAAGAAGTGGAGACAAGTGTAAAAGCATGCGGCCAAGTGTATCCAGAGTAGGCCGAAACAAGTGGAAGACAAGTGGAGACAAATGGGAAACGAATGTAGAAGCATCCGGCCAAGAGTATCTAAGCAGGGAGACAAGCAAAGAGACAAGTCGAGACAAGTGTAAAAACATCCGGCCAAGTGTATCCAGAGTAGGCCGAGACAAGTGGGAGACGAGTGTCTATAACAAGAATGGAAAGAAGCAGGGAGACAAGTGGGAGACAAGGGTAAAATCATCCGGCCAAGAGCATCTAAGCAGGGACCGAGACAACTGGAAGACAAGTGTAACAAGTGTAGAATCACCCAGGGTGGGGAGACAAGTAGGAGATAAGTGTAAAAACATGTGGCCCAGAGCACCCAGTGGGAGACAAGTGCAAAATCATGTACCCAGTGGGAGACAAGTGCAAAATCATGTGGCCCAGAGCACCGAGCAAATCTAAAATCATGCGGCCCGGTCAAGCACCCCTTTCAAAGGAGTAAGAACCCCTCACAGGCAAACCTGTTTTGGGAAAAAAATAAAAAGCAAAGATCTGAGGCTTCTGAGGCTTCAACCGGAGCAACTGAACTGTCGCTGGAGAGGTAGAGGCATACTTCAGGTGGTATGACGCTGTGGGTAAACAAACGAAGAACTGAACTGACTAGGTCTGAGTCTAGGTCCTAGGAGTTCGGTGTCCAGTGTCACAGCCCCTCCATGAATTTTTTTTTCAAGAGCAAAATGGTGTCTGCAGAAGCATGCATATTCGATTGACCACGATGCAGATTGACATGCCTCTAACTCTCATTAAACTTAAAAAAAGTTGGAAAGAAGTGCAAATCTGCAAATTGCTTATTATTGTTCTGCAAAGCGGTCTCAAAGCTCCTGCCGCTGTCGATGACTTGCAAAGGTCGAGTTTCAACATGGAAAGCTGCCAATTACAGCCTCCTAAACAATTTTGTACAAAGGCAGAAGAGCAGGAAGTGTCAACAACACACTGCCTCTCTGGAGATTTCCACATTAAGATTTGGTAGCAACCAAATACGTCTTGTAAAACTTCTTGGTCAACTCGGTCTGCCAACATGTGCAAACGTGCGCGGTCATCTGCCTTGTGCCTTGAATCAATCGTTACATGGTTGTGCCCAACTCGAATGGACACGTGCCGGTGTCAAAGCAGCCAAAGTCACCTTCTCTGCGACGTTTAGGTTTTCAGCAAGCGTAAATGCTGAGAACTCCGCTGCTTGCTTGCGGTATCTCTTTTTTAGGGCCTTCAAGAACGTCCAGTTTTGGGCGACGTGCATCACTAGCCGAAGGTTTGAAGGGTCAAAACACACTTCACTACTCTATTTAACATGCTCTATTCCTCGGATGGATACAACAATGAACAAAAATCAACAGACTATGTTTGATACTTGCCACGCACAATAGCCCAAGAGGGGACCTCTGCGCAGCAACCTACTGGAAACACCACAAAACAGCAGCTGCCCATACCCACCACTCACAAGTTCGAGCCAACACCAGAAAAAGATTCCCGGGCAGGTTTTGACAAAACCCGTGGCAAAAGATGATTGGCATCAAGCAAGCAGTAGCTTAGTTCGATGTCTTTGCACCTACCTGGGCATCAACAGTAGAGTGTGCTTGAGGAGGGACCACAGGGAAGTTCAACGCGAATGAACTTGATCTGCTTTGACCTCGTAAAGGGTGATTAACCGCCCGTCGGAATCCTTGATGAAGCAAGAGTGACTCCAGCTTGCCGATGCCAGCTTCCATGATCAGTCTTCAACCAGATGCTTTAACATTGCTCATGTAACTGCGGAACGCATTTAATATGCTCGCGTATGTATTCTGATATTGTTTCCTACAAAGCTTTCTGGTCGCGAACACCTGCCAATGCTTCTGGCTAGACAGAGCCTACAACCTGCATCATCATCATCATCATCATCAGCACCCTAATCATCCTAGTCCAGTCTTTTGCTTAGTCAATCACCACTTCTTTAAAAAAAAGGAACAGTTATCAACACAAAGCTAGGAGGTCCACCTAGGGTCTGTAAAATCTGCTGGTGGAGAAGGTGATCCAGAATGTCGAATTCAAAATACCAGCAGATGCACAAATATACATACTTCAAGAACCCTAAAGTTTACGCTTCTTACTCTGTTCCAACATGACACTTGCGGTCTACAGCGGATCGGATTGACACGTCCATTTTTTGCCTGGCAGGTACAGCGCGGTCAGATTTCCACACCCGTTTAAGTTTATAATACTTATAAGGCTTTCAGGTGTGGAAATCTGACCGCAACTTAGGTGTCGACATGTTGCACGTAGGATTCTACGGGGAAAGGGTTTGTCCCGTTTTAGAAGTCAAGAAGCGCAACTTTCGGCACCCCAGTGCGTTGTTACTAGGTATTAGCATTGTGTTTAAAACCAATATTGAGACATGTTATTAGCTTCGACATAAACGTTGTCCTGCTATATAGTTAACAACTAATATTGGATTATCATACATACTTATACAGTATACATGTACATGTTCAGCACCTTCTGAAAAACACAAAAGGCACCCTGCGTTGTTACTAGGTATTAGCCTTGTGTTTAAAACCAATATTGAGACATGTTATTAGATTCGACATAAACGTTGTCCTGCTATATAGTTAACAACTAATATTGGATTATCATACATACTTACACAGTATACATGTACATGTTCAGCACCCTCTGAAAAACACAAAAGGCACCCTGCGTTGTTAC